CAACACATGGTTTTGCAACATGAACTCCCCCAAAAAAAGTGTTCCGCGCTCTTGCGACTTCTGGATACATCCATATGACTTCAACATGTTCATGCAATTATACCAAGCGTGCCTCTCGCGCCGCATGCCGACATCATTCGCACGCCCTGCGCACGTGTTGGGGGGGGCACGATCCGTGTCAAATAATACCGTGCGGGCCACTCGCTCGTCGGCCGCGTGCGCATGGCGAACTTTGTCGACAACCCTCATCACCGAAGCGAGGATGCCGACATTGTCGCCGGCGCGATCAGCATCAGCGCCCGCAGTGGCCGCGTTTTCGTCCTGGTCAGCATCGTCTCCAGCAGCGCTATTATCATCAGCGTGACTACCGATGTCGACGTTGCCATGATGCCGCGGCCGCTCAAGTCGCCGACTCGCAGTGAAGTGCCCTTTGGGGTGTGCCCAGCGGTCAGCGCCACCGCGGCCGCGTCGGTTTCGCCAAACTACTTGGCCGGTGCGCGCGCGTGATTGGGTTGGCGCGGCCGCAGAGACGCACCAACCAACGCTAAGCATGCATCGCAATCGCCACCGCATAGGTTTTTGCAAACCAATTTTCGGGCTGGTGGGTGGGATGTTTGCAAGAGCATAGGGTGTGTCAACTCGCTTGTTACAATCACTTGCCCCACGTAGACTTCAGCACGTGGGTTGCGCGATTATTGTGTCGCGCCTGCGGCGCGTTTCCTGATCGTTCACAGCATAGAGTGCGCAATAATGGTTGTACAACATCGCTTGCGCCACATATATGGCACAACGACATATATTTCACCGCGCAGGTGGCACACTTTATTTTGTACTCGTCGATTGCACACCATGAGCTGCGCCACATCTACTGCCCGACAGATTGTGCACCCGTGGATCGCACCACCGAAATTGCACCGCATAAATAGCATCGCGTAGGTAACACACATATTGCCACGCAGGGATGGCGGTTTACATATTGCACCTGCACATCGCAATTCCGGCGTTTTTTCCCAACCATCTTGTGGTGTTGGTCTTCGTTTTGAAGAGACGGTGGCCCGCGTCTCCTCTTCCTCTCCTCCTCTCCTCTCCTCCTCCTCCTCCTCCCCCTCCTCCTCCGCACACCCATTTCGGCACACCCCTCACACGCTTCGTGGCCCCATAGGGAGCTCCGCCGGAGGTCCCAGTGGGTGCGCCCGCATATGCCCCGCACACCCATTTCGGCGCACCCCTCACACGCTTCGTGGCCCCATAGGGAGCTCCGCCGAAGGTCCCAGTGGGTGTGCCCGCATGCGTCCCGCACACCCATTTCGGCACACCCCTCACAAGTTTCGTGGCCCCATAGGGAGCTCCGCCGAAGGTCCCAGTGGGTGTGCCCGCATGCGTCCCGCACACCCATTTCGGCACACCCCTCACAAGTTTCGTGGCCCCATAGGGAGCTCCCCCGAAGGTCCCAGTGGGTGGGCCCGCATGCGTCCCGCACACCCATTTCGGCTCACCCCTCACACGTTTCGTGGCCCATAGGGAGCTCCACCGAAGGTCCCAGTGCTGTGCCCGCATGCGTCCCGCACACCCACTTCGGCACACCCCTCACACGTTTCGTGGCCCCATAGGGAGCTCCACCGAAGGTCCCAGTGGGTGTGCCCGCATGCGTGCACCCATTTCGCATACACGTTTCGTCCCGCCCCACCGAACCCATTTGCGGCACACCCCTCACACGTTTCGCGGCCCCATAGGGAGCTCCACCGAAGGTCCCAGTGGGTATGCCCGCATGCGTCCCGCACACCCATGTCGGCACACCCTTCACACGTTTCGTGGCCCCATATGGAGCCCCACCGAAGGTCCCAGTGGGTGTGCCCGCGTGCGTCTCGCACGCCCATTACGGCACACCCCTCACACGTTTCGTGGCCCCATAGGGAGCTCCACCGAAGGTCCCAGTGGGTGTGCCCGCGTGCGTCCCGCACGCCCATTACGGCACACCCCTCACACGTTTCGTGGCCCCATAGGGAGCTTCACCGAAGGTCCGAGGGGGTGTGCCCGCATTCGTCCCGCACACCCATTTTTGCACACTGTTCACGCGTTTCGTGGCCCCATAGGGAGCTCCACCGAAGGTCCCCGTGGCGCAGTCCGCACGCGTCTCCCCCACCCAGTACACCTCCGTCGGAGGCCGTCGGAGTTCCGCGCCTCTCTCGCCCGTCGTCGCTCTGCCCAGCGGCAAGAGCCTTGCCCGCTATCAGCCAGCCAGCTAGCTCTCTTTGCTGCGCGCAGCGGACGACCCGCGCGCGTCGCTGGGCCCCCTCTGGGGCGACCTGCGCGCGTCGCTGGGACTCCGCGCTGCGCTGCGCCCGCAGCCTTGGACTTTTGAGCGCGCGGGCAAAGAGGGAGTAAAAGAAGGGGAGGAAGCGGGCGCGATCCTCGCGGTGGCGTCGCGGCGCGCGGGCGATGCCGTCGGGGAGTCCCGGGGAAGTTCCTTGCGGCGGCCACGCCCAGCGTCACGAGTATTCTGAGGCAGTCATTCACAAACTATGAACATTCAACACAATTGCACCATGCATTGGCATAGTCGCAATCATGCACGTAGACTCGCTCGCACGCAGATTCATTCACAGTCATACGCGCTCGCGCTCAGATTCACCCGCGCTCGTTCTCCCTACGTTCTCAGATCATTAGTTTTCGCTCACGTTGTGTACCACGCCATTCATTTCGGCACGCCCCTAGCACGGTTCGTTGCCCCATAAGGATCACCACCGAAAAAGGGAATCACAATTGCGGTACTCACACCTGCATATGGTTGGGTCCTTCGTCTGGCTATTTTTTCTGTCGCTCACAACAAAGGTGGCGCCACAATGATTGCACGATCTGGTTTTGAGCACATGGATTCCACAACGTGTATTGGACGGCGTAGATGGCGTCGCCTAGATTGCGCTGCGCTTTTTGCGCGGCGTAGGCTGCACCATTTCGATTGCACCACAGTGGTTGCCCCCATATAAATTGCGTATCGTCGATTGGACCACACATACTGCACCACATTCATTGCACCACGTTTGCTTGCACATCGTAGTTTGCAGAATCTCGACTGCACAACATATGTTGGTACCTCATATATTGCGTAACGTGTATCACCCCATACATATAGCACCACCCAGCAGTGCATCGCATAAATAACACCACATCTGGTGCCGGAAACACATTGCGCGGTGTCATACTATTGTTAGATAGTGTGAAATATAGCAAGGGCAGATTCATTGCGCCCTATCAAGCGCAGCATCCTTGTCAACGTAAGGCTGACCACAGCAACGACATATGATTCGACATCTGAGACACGACAGGCTTCATGAGGTCACGCCGAAAGAACACCAAAGACACCATCTGTGGACATAACCAATCAGAACCGACCATGATGTCACCGAATATGATACACCAGATACCGAACAATGTCGTCCTATCATACGCGACATGCGCGCCGAACCCATTTTGGCCATTGAGACATACAGTAGAAAAACCGACCATATAGACGACATGTTAAACATGACAAGCGCCACGGCGTCACGCCAGCCTGTCCAGAATCGAAGATAACACAGCATAGTGCCATTTACGATCATGGAGCAGAACCCCAGCCATCCGAATATAGCACACGTCCATGCGTCAGCCACCAATTTCCGGCGTCTCATCCATTGAACATCATAGCATGATTGACCGCACTGAAGCAACATCAAAAGCTACGTGCGCGCCGAGGTCAGCCTGGCCACAGGAACGAACAGGTTCAACAACGACCGATTGGACGACTTATCTACCGTGACGCGTAACGGCGTCACGCTGGCCAGTCGATAACACTATAATATAACAGATTAGCTTATGGTGGAATAGCACATGGTTGAGCAACGACAGTCTCGTGACGACCTGTCAAGCCCAGCATCCTCGCTGACGTAAGGTTGGCCACAGGACAAAACAGGCGCAGCAACAACCGATTAGACGGCACGCCGCCCCGTCGAGAGCAGAAATGAACATCCCACATGTGCATCGAACAGAACAGAAACGAACATAACGCGTTATGGTATAATCCAGCAGCGTCTGATTATTGGCTTCCTATCACATGGCACATGCGCGCCGAGCTCAGGCCTACCATAATAACAAACAGCACCAGGTTCGGGAACACACGCCGAAGTTGTGTGTGGGGATCGCGTGTATTTCGGTGTGTATTTCTTCTCGCTCGTTGAAGATATTGGGCCAGCCCGTCGGTATGGAGGCTATGTGGTCACCGTCGCCGCCTCGTCGCCGCCCGTCTATTGGGCCTTGCCGTCGGTCTGGCGGCTGTGTGGCCGCCCTCGCCGCCCCATCTGTTTGGACCTGCTCTTCGGTCTCGCGGCCATGTGGTCGCCGTCGCCGCTCAGTCGCAGTCTGGGCTTGCGTTATTTTGCATTGCGTTGAGTTGCATTGTTTTCTTGGTGTTGCTTTGCACTGTGGTGCTGTGAGTTGCATTGATTTGCATTGCGTTGTCTTGCGTTGCATTGCTTTGCGTTGCATGTGTTGCATTGTTCGATTCCGCTGATTTTCATTGCTTGCCACCACGTGGACGGCACCACGTACGCTGTACCACCTAATCAGGTTGCACCGCATAGATTGCACCATATAGTTTGCAACACTCATACTACTCCAGGTTGATTGCTCAACACTGTTTGTACCACGTAGCGTACACCACACCTATTGTTCCACGCAGGTTGCACCATATAACATGCTGAACAAAAACATGTTTGGGGTCCACGCTGGCTATGTCACCGATGCTGGTCCAGCATTGGATGTGTGTGTGTTCGCGGCGAGGAGAGGTGGTCGGCTCAGACACAATACATTGAAGAGAGTTGGCCAGGAAGCAGAGGAGCACTCTAGCACGCCCCAAAGTGCTCATGGCACGGTGGCTGATATACATCTACATCCCGACGTGCGAAAGTAGATAGGTTGAATGTGTTCACGTGCTTTTTTTAGGGAGAGACAGACATCCCCCGAAGGCACATCGTCCTCTCCCCGGCGGCGGCGCGGGCGGGAACCCCAAGGCGAACGTCAAGGATCTACTCACGCGCAGCGTTGTTGAGCTTGTCGTCATCTGCAACTCAAGTTGCAACTTATTGGATATTGCAGGCGCTTCGCGTAACCCCACCAGCCAATCCAGAAACGATGCCTCCGCGAGTTGCCCTGATCAGGGATGTCGAGAAATGTGCACTGGAATAGCGGCAAGAGAAGCCGTCAGTTCCCCAGAGGGGGAGGATGGAGGAGGCTTGAGGAGAGAGGAAGAGGAGGAGGAGGAGGAGGAGGAGGAGGAGGAGGAGGAGGAGGAGGAGGAGGAGAAGGAAGAGGAGGAGGAGGAGGAGGAGGGGGAGTGGGAGGGGGAGGGGGACGGGGAGCAGGGAGCAGGCACGAGGAGGAACATGCGGAGGAGGAGGAGGGGGAAGATGGCGATCATAATGGCCAGAGGCATCTTGGACGCCTCTCGGATTTTTTCCGGGCGTCTCTTGAAAGTTTCTTGCAGTCTTTTTGGGGCGTTTTGGTGGTGTTCCTGGCGGCCCGGGGGCTTCTTGGAGCGTCTTGAATGTAGCGGTCAGGCGAGCCTATTGGGGCCTTTTCGGAATCTCTTGGAAGTTGTTTGGGGGCCGTTTGAGGGCCTCTTAGGGGTTCCTGGGCGCCTTTTTGGGCCTTCTTGGGACTCCTCTTGGGAGCTTTGACAGCCATCTTAGAGGAGATCGATCAAAGAAGGGAGGTCCTTCGTCAGGTCCCCCCCAGGAGGCCAGCATGGGCCCAACGCCTTAATCAAATCACAGACTGTTGCATTTTCGTCGAGGCCATCGTGGCCGCTCCAACGACGCGCCGCCGACTCCCCCCTCCAGGTCCAGGGGTAGGGGTAGAGGTAGGAGTCAAGACACCCTCCCCGCCCGCAAGCCGTCTCGCTCACTCCCACCCGCCCTCCCAACACATCAGTATCACTTGAGCCGCAGCGTGTTCAGCGGTAGTCTCTGGATGGACAGCTAATGGGAACCAACACAGTCCCCATGTGGCGAGGTGCGCCAGACGCGCCGCGCGCGCCAGGTGCGCCAGGCACCCCAGTGGCTGGCCGCAGCGTGCCGGGCACGCTTGGTGCACCAGATGCGCGACGTGATCCACGTGCGCCATGTGTGGCGTATGCTCCAGCCGCGCCAGGTGCGCCATGTCAGCGCAGAGTGTGGCAGGTGCGCCTGCGCACGTGACAGTACACGTCGGGAACCGTGTCGGCCCCCACCACCGTCGCGGCGGAGTGGCCATCTCGCGTCTGGCGCCATGGCGCCCATGTCGGCGTACCCCTCATACGCTTCGCGGCCCTTTAGGGAGCTCCACCGGCGGCCGCAGCGGCAGGGCTCGCATGGCGCCCCCGCAACCATTTCGGCACGCCCCTCACCCGTTTCGCGGCCCCATAGGGGGCGGCACCGGAGGCTCCAGTGGCAGGGTTCGCATGGCGCCGCCGCGCCCATTTCGGAGCACTCTTCACACGGGCCACATAGCGAGCTCTACCGAAGGCCCCAGTAGCAAGGTTCGCATGGCGCCACCGCGCCGCATGGCGCCACCGCGCCCATTTCGGCACACCCCTCACATGCATCGTGGCCATCGTGGCCCCATGGGGGACTCCACCGAAGGCCCAGTGGCAGGGTTCGCATTGCGCCTCCGCGCCCATGTCGGTGTACCCCTCACCGAAGGCCCCAGAGGCAGGGCTCGCATGGCGCCTCCGCACCTCAGCGCACCCCCGGCACGCTTTGCTGCCGCGTAGGGAGCTGTTCCTCTTACGTCCCACATGCCTTACCGTACTCGCGACCGCTCATGGTTGGCTCTGTCGCCCGAGTAACTCGCCCAAAGGTTTGAACACGGCGAACCCAAGTCGTTGCATCTTGTCATAAGAGTGGCATCTTTTTCCATGTGGGCAGTGTATTGGCGTTCCCTCATGGGACTCATGGGCATCCAGACACGGTCTGGGCCGCATCCAGCCACATGCGTGATTGAGACGTTCTTTTTTTAAATGCACCCGTGAATGCGTTGCGAGTTGTGTTGTTTACATCAATCCGGTTGGGATGGCAACCGTTGGTTCCCACCTTGTTGTCTATTGTGAGGCCATTCTGCTCGTGGTATTGCGCATCGGTGCGTTCTCGTTGTGATTTGCCACTTGGATCGTGCAGGTTTGTCAGGCTCTCGTCGCAAGTAACTCGTACGCTTCCTGATGCGTCCTTGTCTGATTGCCTTTGGTGTCCTTCTGGTGCAGGACGCTGCGCGGTCAAGCTGGAAAAAAGCAACAAGCCAAATCCTCATGATCCAGCCTATTGCCAAGGGCGCGACGGTGGACTTGATGGCGGCGCCGCGGGGCGTTCTAAAGACGAGGACCAGTACAGGCACTATCCGTTGATTTCTGGTGGAACCCACACACGAAGCAAGAGTATGCAAGCTGGTTTGGGGCGAGGGTGGGTGGAAGCGGGTGATGCTTGGGAGAGCCCAGGCTCTCCCTGTGGAGTGCGTGCGACTCACGGACGACGACGGCCCTGAAGGCGCAGGCGCTGACGACGATCCCTTCCTTCCGAGCCCCCTCCCCCCTCCCTTCCTTGCCTCCCTCGATCCCTCTTTCTCATCGATAAGTCATCTTTGTCGCACCGCCAGGAGAGTCGGTAAGACGGTCCAGGTGTTGCGCCTGAGACGCTTCTGCTGTTCATGGTCCTGAAGCTTGAACTTCCCAACAGGTACACGGATGGAGAGCGAGTGTTCTGCAATGAAGTTTTCGCATCGGAGTTTCACGCATTATTCAAAGTTGTTGATCAGTTGCACGGATGAAGTGTGATTTGTTTTCGCAAGTTGGTGTTCGTGTTCGTGCCGTGCAGATTTACCTTCAGCTGGTTTCAGCAGCTGCATGGCTTGAGGGCGGTCTTCTCAACATGTGGTGGGCGTGTCCGATTTTCTGAAACGCGATTGCCAGCACTCCAGTCGGACGGACGGCGGCAAAAGATGTAGGGGGTCCGAGGATTGCAGACAAGTTCCCCTCGAGTGCCCCCAAGCAGTCCTAATCTGCCACCGTGTGCCCAACGAATACACGAAAGGTGCACGTTTCTTCACCCCACGTTGATTCCCCCCCTGTGAACGAGCACCTGATCCAGGGGAGTCGGCGTCTTCTGGCCTCTTGCGGGATCGAAAAGCCGTCCATATTCTTCTCCTGGACCGTCACGAGTCCTTTCTTTGCGGCTCCCCGCGTTGCCTGCGGAGCGGAGTCGGGCGTCGCAGGCAGAGGCGGTGGGAGGGCTATCGTACGCGGGCGAGCGCGCAACGGGGGGGGGGTGATGCGACATGGCAGCGCCCAGTGGTCCTCCCCTCCTCCTTGCGCGGTCCCCGCCATACCGCGTCCCCGCCCCTTTCCGCGGACGCCGCGGCGGCCGCTCGCCACCCTCTGGAGGGCCACCATCGTGGTCCCCCGGCCACTGCGCGGGAAGCACCCGGGTGGCCCTTGGGAGGGCGAGCTGAGACGGCGGTCGTTAGCCTTCGGGCATTCGGAGGGGGGGCTCGTCGCCACGGCTGGACGCGGCACGGGCAACTCGTGCGTTCAGACCCCGTGCGGGGGTCCAGGGGCCGATTTTTTGAGCTGCGGTTGCCTCAATGTGTGTGTTTTTCCGATCCTCGGTGAGTTGAAGGAGGCGGGGGTGAGCGCTGGGCCTTGGGCATTCAGCGAAGGGGCTCCCCTTCTTGACCCACGTGTTTGTGGCGATGCGCCGATCGTAAATCGGTGGGGGGTGATGAGAGGGCGGGAGTGAGGACGGAAGAGAGGGCGAGAGTGGGGAGGATGGAGGGGAGGGGGGGAGCGATGAGGAGATGGATGGAGGAGGGTGAGGGAGGAGAAGAGGGAGGATATGGGATGAGCAAACAGTACGACGGCGTCGACGACGATGGGGCCATTCTTGTTCATTGTCGGCTTCGAGGCCAGTGAAAAGTTGCTCCTAGGTCTAGGGAAGAAGCATGGTCCCAGTCGGCATCCACCCTCTCAACGTTGCTTCCCTGTGCCTCTCATGGGACGCGCTCCGACCTGGATTTGGAGGTGGGGCCACCCTCTCCAGATGCCCACGCCCCCCGAGGCCCAACAAAGGCTAACAGCACGTAAGCATTGCTCGCTCATCGAACCTCGCTTCTCAAAGCTACGACGACGACGACGACGACGACAAAGACGGCGGCCGCCAAGATGTCGACATGCATTCGTGGCCGCAGTTCTTGCATCAGAGGCCGTATCGAGCGAGTTGCACCACTCAGGTCTCTCGGGGAACATGAGCGGGCAGTCTAGGGGGTCGGCCGTATGATAACACCAGTCAGAATAGCAAAACAATTCAGCGGCGGAGCATTGCCGACGCATCGCCGATGCGCCAGCGACATCGGACTCCGCATCACGCCGCGGACTTCGCCTGGGAGGCCTAGATCGACGATTGATATTTGATCCTTGAATCATCGATCCACGATTCTTCGATCTTTTGTCCCTCGAGTTCTCGATATGCTGGTTCTCAATCCCTCGAGCCCCTGTTCTCGATACGTCGATACTCGATTCCTCGATCCTTCCCTCGTTCCCTCGATCCTCGATCCCTCGATCCTCAACCCCTCGATTCTTCGATGATCCCTCGATCCTCGATGCCCCGATCATCGATTCCGCGATCTCTCGATCCTCCCTCGATCTCCCGGTGCTCGATACCTCGACCCTTCGATCCCTCGATGCCCTCGATCCCTCGACGTCCACCCGTCCGACCGGCGGCGGCGGCGCCCCGCGTGCGGCAGGCCCGCCAGAACCACAGGCCGAAGCTCCAGGAGCCAGCCGCCGCCGCGGCGCGGCTCCCCGGGGGGGGGGAGGAGGAGGAGGAGGAGGAGGAGGAGGAGGAGAGGAGGAGGAGGAGGAGGAGGAGGAGGAGGAGGAGGAGGAGGGAGGAGAGGAGGAGGAGGAGGAGGAGGAGGAGGAGGAGGGAGGAGGAGGAGGAGGAGGAGGAGGAGGGGGGGGGGGGGGGAGGAGGAGGAGGAGGAGGAGGAGGAGGAGGAGGAGGAGGAGGAGGAGGAGGAGGAGGAGGAGGAGGAGGAGGAGGAGGAGGAGGAGGAGGAGGAGGGGGGGGTGTGGCTGGGCGAGCAGTGGTCTGCGGGGGGCCCCCAGAGCGGTGCGGATACCACGCCGTGCGTCGAAGAGGAGCGGCGGCACAGCAGACGGTGCGGCCAGGCGCGCGCGCGCCCCTGCGCGCGCACGTAAAACAATTCGTAACGAAGCCGATCGTGCTGGAAGCGTTGCAAGACAGATGTGTTCCAGTTGTATTGCAGGTATACCTTGCCCGAGGAATCCCAACAGCACCTCATCAGAGTAATTTGCGCGCGCGCCATCGTGATCATCATCGCCAGCGTCGTCATTGCCACCGTCATCACCATCAACGTCAAGAACGTCGTCATCATCACCATCGTCGTGGCCGTCGCCGATGGTCTGACCACCGTCATCACTCGCCGGCCGGAATCATGGATCTGGGTAAACATGGTCCACGCGTCCTTGTGCCTGTTGAGATGTTCTGAGCGAGCTCCGATGCGTAATTTCATGTTGGGCTTCTTTTGAATTTTGCCAAGACGTTGCGGGTGGGTGGGCGGGATGTTTATTCAAATGCTGGAGGTGGTCATGCGTTTATGCCCGCAGTCCCTTCCACCACCTTGGTTGCATCGCGTACAGTTTGCCCACAGCTTGCGATACACCGAACGACACATGTTGCATCCGATACGTTAGACCACATACGTACTACCCTGCGTGTTCGCTTGTATGAAAGAACAGAAGTACATCATCCCCCCCACCGAGGCCAGGGTGTTCCGTGTGCTTCGCGTTTCTTCTTCATCTCAGTATTTGGCATTAGTTGCCGAATGTCAAGAGATGCCATGCCAGGCAGTCTTCGCAACACCTCTCCACATCCCTGTTAGATAATGGCGTGCGGAACCCATGCGTCGATTGAGTAAGATCATGTGACAAGAAAGTGTGATGCGGACGTGCGCGCGCCGCTGCGCGCATGATAAACTCATGGAAACGCAAATGGTGGCTGGACCATTTCAAGACACCCCTGCCCAAACACTACCAGCACAGATTTATTGGCACAACCAAGGTGTCAGGCTTCTGCGCGTGAACTCACCCGAATCATACGAACACCAGCGGATGCTTCAAAAGTTCTGCCAGATGTTGGCCCTACGCGCGAGCACGTCGAACACGTCCAGCAAACATCGCACGCCTGCCAACTCTGCCAAGGAGTACCATGCTGGCTACACCCGTGCGTCTCCGCGCGCGCACACCTCGGAATCCTTCGAAACCAATTGGCCGTCTCAGATGTCGTCCCAGGGGCGGTCACAACATACGAACAGCAAGTAGTCTTGCAACGTTATCTTGTGTAACAGGTATTAGGTGTTTGACGCGGACGAATCTTGACGAGCCTCACGCCTGACGAATTTGATCCGAGGCGGGGTGTTGACATCCATACCTACCGTCAGGGGATCTCAGCAGGCAACCGATCCTTAGGGACCTCGGCAGGCAGTGCATATGGATATACAGTCAACACGCCTAGTAAGGACGCGCGCCTTCATCTAGGGTACCTTTGTGTCCTTGCCTCTGCGGCCCGTCCTTTGCCGTTTTCACTGGTCACCCGCCGCCCCAAAACATCCTAACTTCGGCATTCAAGGGTCTTGCGCCCTTACCACCCGTCCTTAATACACGCTTTGATTGTAGTCGGGCCCCCTGGTGTCCAAATATGTCCATATCCACCGCCCACTTGCGCCCAGGTCATCGGTTACCCAGGCGTTGGTTGGGATAAATCCCCGCCTCGCACCAGAGGCCAGCGTCCCATTAGAGCATTGAGCCTGCTTCTCTTCGGGCTCGACTCCTCCGCCCTAGTTGGTGTTCGTTCTACTGCTCCTGTGTCTAAGTGGTGGCCACTGGCACGTTATAGACGTACAGTCCAATAGCCGCATAGTAAGAATAGTCAACCTTCCCAAGGGTGCCCTTGCATCTGTCTCCTCGGCCCATCCCTGGCCACTTTCGTTGGCCGCGCCCCGCTCGAAGAGCTTCGAAATGGGCGTCCAAGACTCGTGCATCCTTACCACGTATCCTTGTGACACGGGTTGACTGTATTCGTTCCGAGGACCCCGAAAGGCTACAACGTGGTAACATCTCCCTGGGTTTAAGGCGCCCGCTCGCCGATAGCGGGTTTCATGATCCTCCTGTTCCTGTGCCTCGGGCGTGGCAGGGGAGAGGCCAGCTGAGGGCGCAGGGGGAGCCCGCCACTGAGCGCGTGGGTTGTCCAGCGTTTGTCGAAAGGGGGGCCGCTCAACCGAAATCCCCCTGAGGTGGTGCGTTCCGACTAAACCGGCTCGGAGTAGTCGTGGGGGGTTCCTCTTGCTCCTCTTCTTCGTTGCCTCGCGGCGATTCGGACTTGGATCCACAGGACGGTTGCAGTCCGCGTGGTCGCCGTCCAGCGGAGCTCTGGCGGAGAGCGTGGCCAGCTCCCTCGCCGCGTCGGCGCGACCTAGATCGAGGAGGATCCAGTTCTTTAACGCCTCCAGGGCCTCTGGAGAGCCGAGGCCATCTCCGGGCCTCTGGAGACTTCGAGGAGAATTGAGCGGGCACTCGGGCGAACATTTCTTCGGTTGTTCGTGAGCGCCCTCCTTTGCACTCTCGGCGGTCTGCGCAAGCCACTGCTCAGGATCGCCAGGTCCTCTCGCCTCAGACCCCTTTCTCTTTGTCGCCCATGTGCCGCTCCTGAGCCGGTCGCGCAGGATGCTTTGCCGAAGGGTGGACTCGGCCCAGCCGCGGATCCGTTGCGCTGTTCGCGACTCGGCACGTCCAGACTCGGATGGGACGGCGCGGACGGGGTTCTCAGTGTTCTGGGTGTGCAGCAGATTCGCGCCGCCTCGATGCGGCAGCGACGCCGGTTCGGGCACGTAAGGGTGAACACCCTCCGCGGGACCGTCTTGGGCCCTGGACAGAAAATCGGAATCCGTACGGGAATGATTTTCCTTCCGGGTGTTTTCGAGCGGAGATCAGATAGACAGCCTGCGCGGCGGAAACCAGGGTCGTCCACGTCGTCAGGGCTTGAATTTGCCGCACGTCGGTTTGGGAAGGGTGGGAGCGAGGACCGTCCGTTGGCATTGGACATGTCGTGTTTGCGTCGGTCGTGGGTCCTCCTGGCCCGCTCGTCGAGAGGGCGGCTGCAACATCCAGCAAGGTTTCGGCTCGTCCGTTGTCCGTTCCACATGGTTTGCGAGATGCCCTTGGTAGTGCGCCGGCGTGATTTGCATCGCGAGCTCGGCGTCGACGAAGCGAGCGGCGTCGCGCAATCCCTTCCCCATCGTATCCCTCGTCCTCGTCTTGCTCCTCGTCGTTCTGCAGTGTCACAGGGGCGGTATGCTCCCTTTGTCGCCCCCTGTGGGAGCTCGCGTGCGACGAGCACGTTGTCGTTGGTGATGACGTGGTTCGTGGGGCACGTGTGGTGCACGAAAAGGAGCGGGAGGTGGACGATGGCAACGAGGACGGGGAAGAGAATGCAAAGGAGGAGGAAGAAGAAAGCATGCGAAACGCAGTGTCGTTGGCGACACGGCTGTTCGCGTGGCATGCAGGAGCCAAGGGCGCGCCTGCGAGAGTTGAGCCATGAGGTCGGACCACGGATGTCTGTTTCGCTCTCCTCTCCGGCCGGCGACACCAGCCACGTGACGTCACCAGTTGAACACACGGTCTCGCGCTGTGAGCGTGGCCTCTCGACACTTTTTGTGGACAGCTGCGACGTGAGGGTACGAAGCATCGGATAGCAGACATCCTCACGACACGCATTCTCAACTGGAACACGTATCACAGCCTCTCGGCCTCCAGAAGGTTCCGCGGATTTCAGAAGGGAAGAGACAAACGGCTTCGACGAGGTTGGCCTGGCTCATCTCGTTTTCTCTCCCGCACTCAAACTGTCCCACTGATGCTTGTGCTGATGTTGATCTTTCTTGGGTTTTGAGGACCTCCTCGTCGCAGTTCCCAGTTCAGGCGCCCAAAACTATCGCCGAGATCGGCGCCTTGTTTCTGCCACGCGAGTGTTCACAATTCCATCCCATCGAGCATACCGTTGGCGATATTTCTGGCCCAGTGGGTTCCATCAAGGATTGCTATGACAGTCTACTTTGGATTGCACATCGATGTGAGTCTGGTTCGAATCTGGTCATTCGCCCTATGCCAGGTCTCCTCAGAGTCCGAAGACGAGCTGGAAAATATCCCGACTTTCACCGACATCACCCCGCCCCGCCGAATGCAGACCCAGACCAGGAGCGTTTTGTTTCGTCTCCTCACGTATCCTATTCTCCGCGATTCGCTCCATCCCGTCCCTCTTTTCTATCTCCCCTGTCTTTCCCTTCGTCCCTTTCTTCTCTCCCTCCAACACTCCGTACCCCCCAGATCTCGGACGTCACTATGTGTCCAACACGTAGGCCCCCGATCTTCCGACCCCGTCCCCAGGATGGCAGATTGTTTATTGCCCCTAGGCCAGATGGAGATCCGGATGCCGAAATTACGTCAAGACGCCGATCGTCATGATTCCGCGACGTTGGATCTCTGGTTTGTTTCTCTCTCTCTCTCTCTCTTTTTTTTTTTCTCTCTCTCTCTCTCTCTTTCTCTTTTTTTTCTCTATGTCTCTCTCTCTCTCTTTCTCTCTTTCTCCCTTCTCTCTCTCTCTCTTTGTCTAGAAGTTTCTGTTGTTCTCTGCCATCCAGCTTCCACCCTCCGTTCTTGCCCCCGTCTCAGCCTCCGCCTCTGTGCCTTTCTCGGAGACGCCTACGGCGAATCACCGCCGCCCCCCGCCTTCGTGGAAGCGCCTATACGGCCGAACGTTGACGCCAGACCTGCCAAGCTATCGGACCATGTGTTCCCCTTGGAAAGCATTCGTGGAACACGTGGGCATCTTGAAAGTCATCTTGGCCGTCTGGAGGCCATTTTGACCCTTACGGGCTTTCTTGGAGGACGTGTTGGAGGGCTCTTGGGCCGTCTTGGAGGCCATCTTGAGCGTCTTGGAGGCCTCTTGGGCCGTCTTGGGGGAGCATCTTGGGGCCGTCTTGGGCTCTTGGGCGATCTTTGGGGGCACTTGGGCCGTCAGAAGGCCGAACACAAGCAAATGCCACAATCCTTCAAAAACCGATTGGAAATCAATGATTTGGAACTTTTCGGGCCTTCCTTGAGGCCCTCTTGGAGGCCTCTTGGGCCGTCTTGGGCCATCTTAGGGCCATGTTCGGCCGTCTTGGTGGGCTCCTGGTCCGTCGGAAGCCGTTCGGGGGGCCTTTCTGGGCCGACTTGGGGCCCTCTTGGGGTGCTCCAGAGCCGTCTTGGAGGCCATCTTGGGCGTCTTGGAGGCTTCTTGGGTCGTTTGTTTGCCCTCTTGGGGCCGTCTTGGGGCCTCTTGGGCCGTCATGGTGTCATCTTGGAGGCCTCGTGGGCGATTTTGGTGCGTTCTTGGAGGCCTCTTGGGCCGTCTTGAGCCGTCGGAATGCCGAGACGAAGCAAATGCCAACATTCTTCAAACACCCAAGGGGAAATTAATGATTTTGGCCTCTTCGGGCCCTCCTGGAGGACCTCTTGGGGGCCTCTTGGGCCGTCTTGGGCCGTCTTGGAGGCCTCTTGGGGACCGCTTAGGCTGTCTTGGGCCATCTTGAGGCTGTCTTAGGCCGTCTTGGGTGCATCGTGGGCCGTCTTGAATGCGTCTTGAGGCTATCTTAGCCGTCTTGGAGGCCATCTTGGCCGTCTTGGAGGCATCTTGGAGGCCATCTTGAGCCATCTTGAGCGAAGAAGCTGGCGAGATGGGCACCCTGGCGGGACGGGCCGAAGTCCCAGGGGGAGTTCTTTTGGAAAAAGAACCAACACCAAAACCTTAATAATTCGGCACGCCAGGCACCCCTGCGATGAATCGACAGGGGGCGGCGGATCTAGTGGCCTTCGGCCCATCACGCTACCGTGCCTGGGTTGTGGATGTGAAGCCTATGGGATGTTCGTTGGGGCCTCTTGGGGGCCTCTTTGTGGCCTCTTGGGTCCTCTTGGGGTACATCTTGGGGGCTCATGGGGCCTCTTGGGGCAGAAGGCTCGGGTTTTTAGTTCGTGGTCCCTCTTTCGGGCCCCATTTAGGGGCCGTCGTGGGGCCCTCTTGGGCTGTTTGGGGCGCCTCTTGGGCTGTCTTGGGGCCCTCTTGGGCCGTTTGGGGGGCCTTCTTGAAGGCCTCTTGGGCCGTCTTGGGCCGTTTGGGGGCCCTCTAAGGCCGTCGAGGAGCGTCGGGAAGCCGAAAAGGCGAGAGCGCCAACAATTTCAAACACCAGCGGCAAATCAATGAGTTCGGGTTCTTGGGGCCCTCTTGGGAGGCTAAAGACTTCGCAGGAGTGAGGGCTGAGGCTAGAGGATTCGGCCCAGGACCTGAGGACACACCCACTCCGTGCCCAGCGGCACGGTGGCGGATCTGCTTCGGGGACACGCGCCATTTGCAGCGGCAGCCGTGAGGCAGCGCGTTATGCCGAAACTCGCGCATCGCGGGACTGCCTTCGCACAGTCGCTGTTTTTGTTCCCCCTGATTTGCTTTTCCTTCGATCGCCCCTCCCTTGTCAAAGCAGTCCACGTGTCCGATGTTCGACCCAAAACCTTGAGGAGGGAAGCAAGGAGAACGAGTGAGAGCGTGTCAGAGGGAGCGAGAGAGAGAGAGAGGGAGAGAGAGAGATAGAGAGAGAGCGAAATGTTGAATCTGAGACAGGGCTCCATCTCCAGGGTGCTGCCAGGCGTCGGAGTGTCGCCTCTCACCGCAGAGCTGCCACGCGGGCTTCAGATCAGACCCCGGGGTGTCAGAAGTGCAGAGTCGCCGCCACCTTCACGCGTCCCTTGGGGGGGGGGTCCAGCGGGGCGCCGCCGCACGGGCGCCCAAACGGAACCCTGCCTCCCTGGGTGCGCCTCGGGTGGCCCGGGCACGTGGCTGGAGTGCGTTCTGCCGTCTGCTCGCGTAGAGCACGGAGGAACATGTTTTTTTGCCAGCGCGAAGATTGCCTTCTGGCGGGGAGACGAGACAAGCAGGGGGGGTGGACGGAGGAGGAGGAGGCGGAGGAGGAGGAGGAGGAGGAGGAGGAGGAGGAGGAGGAGGGGGAAAGGGGGTGCGGCGGGCCCCCCGCCCCCCCCCGTGACAGCAGCGTTGCCGCCAAAGAACATGACTGAACACGGGGTGCCCTGGCCCGAGGCCCCACCCGTCCGCGGGCATCCGGGTCCCCCTTTCGCGATGCGGCCCCCTTGGGCAGCTCGGAGGTGGCGCCTTTACCAGGGGCCGTGGCCTCGGGAGCGCGGACCCATGGTTCTTCTCAGGGGATCGTGGCCTCCGGAGCGCGGACCCACAGTTCGTGATGCTGGCCCCCTTGGGCGCCCAAGAAAGCTCGGAGGCGGCGCCTTTAAGAGTGGTCGTGGCGTCGGGAGCGCGTCGGGGGATCGTGGCCTCCAGAGCGGCGGGCCCACAGTTCCCCAGGCAGTGCTTGCATCGAGGGGCTCTTACTGTGCATTCTCAGGTAGTTGGCTGGGTTCCCCGGGCTTTCGCCGCGTTGGCGCCCGTGCCAGCTCCGGGGGGCGCGCCACGTGCGTTGGGTGGGTTTCCCGAGGCGTCGCCGCCGGGGCGCGCGTGTCCGCTGGTGGCCCCATCGTGGGCGCCCTGTGCGTTGGCTGCGCCTCCCGAGGAGCGCCGCGTGGGCGCCCGTGCCCGCTCGTGGGCGACTCGTGGGCGATCCGTGCACGTACACAACATGGCTTGCACCACGCAGCTTGCAGCGCATCGCTCACACCACGCGGCTCACACCACATGACTCAAACCATGTAGCTTGCACGCCGCAGATTGCACCACGTGGCTTGCACTGTCTAGCTGTCATCGACTCACTCCCACCACATACATGGCACAGCATTGCTCATACCATCTAGCGCGCCCCACATAGCTCACATCAGACAGCGCACACTACCTGGCTTGCGCAACATAGCTTACCCCATATAGGACACATCACATCGCTTACACAGCATAGTTTTACGCCGCATGGCTTACACACCATGGCTTACACCACAGAGCTTGCACCACATCTATTTCAACTCCACTGTGCAATAACTCACTGGCACTGGCTAACCTTTGCTTGGAAGGACGGGGAGGTGGCGATGCATGCCTCTGAGCGTGGCGGAGTCTTTAGGAGATGCAGTAATCCTGCCAGACAGCCCTCGACACGCCACGCCTCAACGTTCCAGGGGGCGCTGTTGAGCGCACGCCACGGGAGGATGCAAACAGGAGCGAGGGGTGAAAGGGAAGTACTCGAGAGGCATAGTGGCGGACGACGGAGAGCGGCAGGAGAGAGCAGGGAGGAATGGAGAGATAATCTGAAAAGGGAACAGACTACGGAGCGTGCAGTGAGGATAGACACCCGCAGCCATTAGAATGAGGCGGGCGAAAAGATCGAGGGACGAACAGCGAGGGCAAGTGAGAGAGACCAGAGGATGTAGCGATCAGAATGGCGTGATAATAGATATTGGAGGACACTGTCCGGCACGGGATGAGACGATCCGATCCGATAATGATCTGAATCCATACGTCTCGTGACAGCGCCCTGGCCTGCCGTTCAAACTGAGCGCGCGCGAAACGCGCACATGGTTCCCAAAACATTGTTTGCACCTGGGGGCTCTTACTACGGTTGTCAAGTGATAGGATGGGTTCGCCGAGATTGCGCTACGTTGCCGCCCCGTGCCGCCTAGCTTGCGCGACAAATCTTGCACCACGCAGCTTTCACCGCCTAGCTTTCACTTCCGCTGTGCAATCACGCACTCAGTGGGATCCACGTTGGCTTACAATTCGACCACTCCTTTTCCCCCTTTCAATCTTCGCAGTACATGTTCATGCCACACAATTACCTCTTCGTCTGCATTCGTGATAGTGTGTTTGACTCGGCGCATCTTCACCAGCCCATCATCGAGGTACGATCCTTGGGCGAGCTGCCGTCCGAAGGGCAAGTGCGGTATCTTGAGTGAAACCAGGGAGGGGAGTCACCCGTCGAATCGGATGCATTAAGAGGGGGGTCAGTGCAAACGGGGGTCAGCCAGGGCACCGGATCCTGCAGGATCCTGCGAAGATCCCTTCTGGCTGACCCGGGTTAGCGAGCCGCTCGTGGCCGCGATGCGGCCGCGCATCTTGGTTGACCTAGGTTTGCGAAGCCCTGCGTTGCAGTTTTGTTGTCCTGCATTTCAGTTTTTTGGTCTCCTGCTGACCCGGGTCTGATTGACCCGGGTTAGCAGATCCCCGATCGACGCAGATGAGGGCCTCCAGCCCAGGACCTCCGACGGTATGATTTTCCAAGGCGTGGGCCCCCAAGAGCCATCGACCCGACTTCCAGTTCAATTGTGGGGAGGGTGTGGGGGAAGGGGGCCCGGTTCGAACCCCTCCGCCTGGCAACTCAGAAGGAGGAGGGGTTCGAATCCCCTCCCTCGGACAGGGGACAGTTCGACCACACCCCCGCCTTGAGGAGGCGGGGGGGGTGCTGGTGAGAGTGGGCGGGCTGGTTAGAGATACCGGTGTCCTGACCCCCCCCCTCAATTCCCCAGGCGCGCCACATGTTTCCTTGGGGGGGGAGGGGATGGATTTGCCCCACGCGTCCACGAAACTTTTTCGCTCCCTTAAGTTCATGTAGTCGTTTAGTTCTCTGTCGACGCCCGACGTCCGGGGATCAGCCCAAGCAGGCCCTCGAAGACCGACGCGGACTCGGGCTCCGACGCCGACGACCCAGACGGCACCGACGACATGTGGTGAGGGGGGCCCGATTTCAGAGGCTCCTCCCCAGCGGCGCGGCCTGGTGACGGGGCCGCCCCGTCGCCAGACCGCGCGGGGGGGGAGGAGCAGGCGAGGAGGGAGGGGTTCGGTAGCAAATCATGGGAGCCTCGTGTGTACTCGCAGTTCCGTAGCATCTGGCAATCGATGAGAAAGCGCCGGATTGGCGTCGATTAGCGCAGATAAGCATCAATTTAGCGTCGATTAGCGCCCACACGCGTCGATGCGCAAGATCCAACCAGACGGTATGGCAGGCCCCCATGAGTTGCCACAGAAAGGGCGAGGAAGATCAAGAAGAGGCTGAGTGGGAGAAGGAACGACCAACCGCCTCAGGTATCGCCAAAGTCTGGGCTCGGACGTGCCCGCGAGAACACCTCGGCAGCTCTCCCCTGGGGGTGCTGAGGCCAGCGCACTGCCCGAGACATCCTCACCATCTGCTTTGACTGCATAGGATGTTGGGCACCCAGACTGGCAAACCGCCTGCGACAACCCAAACATCTGAGCGCGAACGGGCCCGTGAGAACACCCTGGCGGCTCCCCTTCGGGAGTGCTGGCAGAGGATGTCGGGCACCCAAAAAAGCAAGCCGCCTGAGACATCCCCACAATCTGTCCGCGAATTGGCCGCTCCCCCTTGGGAGTGCAAAAGCAAGCGCCTCATTCAAGCCATCCTCGCAATCTGCTTTGAGAACACAGGACAGTGGGCACCCACACAGGCGGGTCGCTTGAGACATCCTCACAAACTTGGCGCGAACGGGCGAGTGTCCTAACCCCGGGCGGCTCACCCTTGGGAGTGCTGAAACCAGCACCTCGCCTGAGACATTCTCACACGCTGCTCTGCAAGCAGACGTTATTGGGTACCCATACAGGCAAACCGCTCGAGACTTCCCCGCAGCATGGGCGCGAACAGACGAGTGTCCTACCCGACCGCGGCTCTCCCTTGGGAGTGCGGAGACCAGAGCCTCGCCAGAGAGAACCCCATAATTTTGTCGCCAGTGAGTCTGAGTATGAGTGTGTCTGGGTGCGAATGAGTCTAGTGCGCTTGAGTATGAGCGAGTCTGAGTACAGTGAGTCTGAGTACGAGTCAGTCTGAGCGTGAGTGGGTCCGAGTATGAGCGAGTGAGTCTGCTGAGGTAGAGGGTGTGAGGTGTGAGGTGTGAGGTGGTATGGAAGCGTCTGAGTAGTAATTGCTTACTGCGTGGAGCTCCCCATATGTGGATCTCTTTTAACAGACAGTTTATACTTGGGATATGTTTGTGAACGTATAGCCATATGAGCTATATGTGCATATCATGTTGTAGGGTAGTGCAATGTGAACATCCGTCTATGGTAGTATTGATCTAAGAGCGCGTCCATATGAGCGACGAACACTTGTGCGCGCAGCCCGGCTGTACATGCAACACATGTACACATTCACGCACCGGCATATGTTAGCGCATTTGTTGCCAAGGCGAAGGATTCCATTGGTACCGCGTCCGAAGCACCAGGGAAGAGTACGAAAGACAAGTGCTTCAAACAGCACCTCGCGATAAGCTCCTGAGCTTTAACCGTCCGCATTTCGCATCGGGCCTAGCTGGCAACGCAAACAGAAGCCGTAGGCACATGGCGTAGGCAAGTGCTACAAATGGCAGCCTCACGGTTTGCGCCTCGGCTGAGACATCCCCACACATTGGCCGCGAACGGACCCGTGTCATACCCCCTGGCGGGTCCCCTTCTGGGCGCTGAAACCAGCGGCCCGCCTGAAACATCCCCCACGTCTGCTCTGACACCAAAGGATGCTGAGCCACAAAACAGGCAAACCGCCTGAGACAACCCTATAGACTGGCCGCGAACGGGCCCGTGCCATACCCCTTGGCGGCTCCCCTTAGGGGGTGCTGAAGCCAGCGCCCCGCCTGAGACATCCTCACAATCTGCTGTAAACGCAGACGATGATGGCCACCGAAATATGCACACCGCCTGAGACATCCCCACAAACTGGCAGCGGACAGGCCCGTGAAAACACCCCCTGGCGGTTCCCCGTAGGGGTGTTGACACCAACGCCCCGCCTGGGACATCCACAGTCTGGGTTATACGCCGATGATGTTGGCCACCGAAACAGGCAAACCTCCTGAGACATCCCCACAAACTTGCCGCGAACAGGCCCGTGCAATACCCCCTGGCGGCTCCCCTTAGGCGTGTTGAAACCAGCGCCCCGCCTGAGACAACCTCACAATCTGTTATAAACGCGGACAATGTTGGCCACCGAAACAAGCAAGCCGCTTGAGACATCCCAACCAATTGGCCGCGGACGGGCCCATGCAATACCCCTCTGGCGCGGTTCCCCGTAGGGGGTGCTGAAGCGAGCGCCCCGCCTGAGACATCCTCACAATCTGTTCTAAGCGCAGACGGTGATGGCCACCGAAACAGGCAAATTGCCGGAGACATCCCTACAAACTGGCCGCGAACGGGCCGGTGCCATACCCCCTGGCGGCGCCCCTTAGGGGGTGCTGAAACAAGCGCCCCGCCTGAGATACCGCTTGAGAGCCCGCGCCATACCCTCATGGCGGCTGCCCTTATGGGTGCTGACCCCCCCCACACCCGAGACATCTTTCGAATATTCTGAATATGAATGAATTACGGCGACAGAGTCTTGGCATGAGTGAATTCGACAGAGTATGAGCACGAGTGAGTCTGAATGTAAACAACTCTGGGTAGTATACGTGCGAAGGGATCAGAGTATGGACGAATCTAGGTAGGAAGATACGAGAATGGGCGGAGGCGTGATTGAGGACTCGGCGACGTCAGAGTAACAACACGAATCCGATTCTAGGATGTGGAGAACAACAGCCCCACTGCAGGACATGGGGTAATGGAAGGATGAGTCGGACATACAAGACATTTGATTGACATGGTGAAGAATGTATGAGGGGGCGGGGGCAGTGAAGGACTCGGGTTTGCAATTCTGCGAATGTCGGTGGAGGACGCAGAGGACGGAGGAGGCAGGTCAGGGTTGAACGAAGGTATGGTTGGGCAGCGTGGAGAAGGTCGGGGCAGGCATGTGCTTGGAGGAGCCCCCTGCGCATGGACCCCCCCCGCTGCCGCTTAGCTCCAGGAGGCGTCCTTCGGCCCCCGCGGCAGGGCCCAGCCCGCCTACGGCCTCCGTCTGGAGACATCAGCGGGAGGGGTCTTCGCGGGGCCCGTGCCGAGTTCCCCGCGCCCGCCCCAGAAGCACGGGAAGGAGATTCCGGCCCCTTGGATCACCATGCACGGGGGTGGTTGGGATGACACGCAGCGGTAGGTTTCCTCTGGTGTTGCATGGGCGTTGCTCTAGGGCCTCTCGGGGCAGCAGCATTGGAGATGTGATAGCATGGCGTGAATTGCCACATGCTGCGCTCGGAGGAAAAAGTGCCGAGGACAGTAGGGTGTAGCAGAACCGCTTGCGGCCACTTCTCTGGCGAACCAGGCTCACAGCTGCGATACGTGATGCAGCTGCGGCAGTTCCCGTGTGACATGTGACGCATATTCTCAGTGGTGAGCTAATTTGTTGCAGGTGTGCACGATGCTGATTTTCGCCAGAGGGTTCACCGATCCCCGTGCAGGAGTACTCGCCCGCTCGGCGTCATGGCCCGTGATTCATGTTGCGTCTCTTCCTCCTCCTCTCTCCTCCCCTCTCCCTCGCTCTCTCCGCCAGTGATTGCTCATCGCATCACCTCCTTATTATTTGCATGCCGTGCTGTCGCCTGCTTGTCGGGAGTCGACCCCGCTGGAATGTCGGTCCGCGCACACTGACCGCATGTTGGGCAATCACTTCGAGATGAGATCAAGGGGCGATGACGATGGGTATGACTGGGAGCACCATGGACCGCACGTTGTGCGCAAGATTAAGTCCAAGGTCGAGGCCGGCGTGCTTGTTCCTCGATCTCTGGAGCCCCCAGGCAAATCCCAGGACAAGTTCTTGTCGCGGATGAAACCTTCTGCTGGTGACAGTTTATGGCGCACCCAATTTGCATGAGTGACCTCACCCCCTCCACATACTCTCTTTCACAGGGTTCTGAACACGGCCCCTGGAGACAAAACATGTCTGGGAATTGCCTAACGTTTTCAATCAGACGCAGGAGGTCGGTGGTTCATTCCAAGACGCCTCTCGGACGGAAGACATAGGGAGTGGTAGGGGATAACCAGGCGGTAAAGAACAATGCGCGCCTTCCAAACAATTGTTTGGAAACGGGATGGCAGTTCTGGTAGGGCTGCTTTCCCGAATCACGATTGCCCCCACGTTGATCTGCCTGCGTTGAATGACTTCCCTGGGCATGCAGCTTGCGGGTTGTTGTTTTCAAGTTTTTGATCCATGGTATTCTCGATTGCTGGGTGGGCAGCATTGTACCTAGGGCCCTAGGGCCTGATCTTAGTGTCCTAGTAGGCTAGATTCGTCATTCGCAATCCGTACGACCCCGACTCGCAACGACCACAGATCTGCCAACACCATGTTCACATTATGCGCGCGCGGGCGCGCGGTCAGGGGGCCCGCAGCACGCTCCCCCCCTGATTTGCTCGTCGGGGCTTGCTGTTCACAATGCCAACCAAGCTTTCGATGGCATCCGTTTGGTGATGGTCCCTGGGCCCGCAACCAGCTCTGGATGCCCGAAACTGCGAGGCGCCAAATCTCTGGAAGCCTTCACACGTCCCCAGAAGCCTCCGAAATTCCCCGCGGAGGCCCGAGAAAGGGCGAACGACGTCGAACACGTCAATCGTCGATGCCACACATCTGGCGGCTCAATGTGTTCGAAGCGTGGACCCCCGGACTCGTCGATCCTTCCCTCCGGGCCCGGCTTCCCAACCTGTGCTGCTTTGCGGCGGCCCTGAGGCCCGAAACACGCCTCCGAGGGCCACAGACCGAGAGCAGTCGTTACCTAAAATGTCCGGCAGCGCGAAACCAAAATCGGCCGCGACCGAAATCCTGAATTTTGCGGCGGATGCCGGCAGCGGGCACACCTCGAACATGATCGATGTAGCGCGTGAATTCGGGTAGGGCGCTATTGAGTTTTGTTCCGGCGCTACCGACAAATCTCTCAAAGTCGCGGCCGATCTTTGCGCAGTGCTACCGAAATTCGCAACCAACATTTACTCAGTGCTGCCGAAACTCGCGACCGATGTCTGTCCAGTGCTACCGAGGATCGCTGCCCAAATTCGTATATCCTAATCAAACCAAGACTAAATGATCATGACGATGAAGGCAACGTCAGGGGGGGATCGGCTCTGGGGGGGGGGGGGGGGGCGACGTTTCGAGGTTCGAGGTTTTGGGCGGAATGCCGAGGAAGGGCGGTGGAATCTTGCGGAAGTCAAATGTGCGCCCCCAAATGTGTGCGGCGGAGGTTGGCGGAAGTTTTCGCGTTAGCGCGAGTTGGGGTGGGCATGCACTTCTGGTGCATTTTTTTTGTTTGGGCGGAGAAGGCTCAGGGGGGGGACGTTGTTCCGACGTTCGTGGTCTTGGTGCATTTTCGCTTGCGCTCGGCGGCTTTCTAGTCTCGGGGTGCTCTCCGTGCTCTCCAGCGGGTGCGCCTCGACGAAGGCGTTCCGGGAGTGCTCGGATGGTCCCGACCGGCCGCTGAAGAGTCGAGGCAACGCTAGGTTCAGGAGGGGAACCCCAATAGCCCATTGATCGCCGAGAGGGGCCCGATAGCCCACCCCGCCCGGGAATGTGCGGATTTGCTATAGGAGGCCTACTCTCGCCTGTCGGCGATGAGTCGCCGATTCCAGGTCGATGCTTCCCCCCGAGCTGGTCTCCTCTGGCATTGCCCCTCCTTCGATTGGATCGCAAGGCCGGCATCTCCTCGGCGGAGGGCCCCGGAAGCAGAGCAAAGGCCGCCTCGGTCGGCGGAGGGCCCGCGGAAGTTGGCGGAAGTAATCGTCGGTTCCCGAGGGATGGTGCGTTGTTTCCCATGCAGGGTGTATGGAGCCAGCCATATTGGCTCGAGTCGCCTCGCTCCTGTTGGCGCCGCGCCGCAGCCTTGCGGGTGCGTGCGCGCGCCATGGCCGACGCCAGCAGCACCCGCGTGCGCTTCAGCGTCGTGTCCTTCTCGCCCAAGGGGACGCGGGTAGTCGTGGTCGCCCTCCTGTTTTGTTCGTCTTCCTCTTCCTCCTCGGTAACTCAATAGAAGTACCACCCTCCCTTCATCCCTGACTTTTTGCAGAAGTCGTTCCGTTCTCTCTGCGCATTGTCTCCCCCGCAGAAGTTCAAACACTGTTTTGTGCTCATCTGTGGTTTTGACACCATCTGGCCATCCTCAATTTAGGATCGGCGTTTTTTCTCCCGTCGTTCAGAATGGCAGTTTCTCCCCAGCTCGGGCCACTTTCCTGGATCCGAGTTCTTCCTCATCGTTGTCGCCCCCCTCCGATATACGTGGGCCCCTTTTTCCGATTTCGCGGAACACGACGGGATCCGTTTTGGAATTCCCGGTCCGCGATGTCACGGGTCGGCAGATAACAAAAATCAGCGTAATGGGACGGAATGGGTGGGAGATAGCATGATATGGCGCGAGCGCGCGCAGCTTAGCCAGAGTCGATTGAGAGACACGCTGTCAAAGCCCCTCGCCCTCCGCCCTCCCCCTCCCTCCTCCTCCTGCTTGTCCTCCCTCTCATTCCTTCTCATCCCCCTCCTCCTTCTAAGTGTTCCCCATTTCATCTCCCTCGCGCGGGCGAGGAGGAGGGAGGGAAGGAGAAGTGGAGGTGGGGAGGAGTGTGAATGTCGAACTTCGCCCTCGACTTCGCCTCCAGAGGTCAACAGATTGTACTTTTCTGTATCACGGGTGGGCTGGAGCTATGGAGGACTAGTGTCTTCCCATCTCCAGTTGTTCTGCTCAAGGGCCTTATTTCGCCGCCCTTGGGGGGCGCATCGCTAAGAAGCCTTTAGAAGCAGAATCGAGCATACAAAGAAATTGACGTCTCTCCTTGGCTGCTTTACGGACAGAGAGTTTGTGGAGCCCAGCCGCGCCGACGAGGCTTCCCCAGGAGGCCGCAACAGTACCAAGCACATCAAGATCCTTGATCGATTATGGGACGAGCGAAATCGAGAGATGCGACGATCAGCTCCAGTGCCCCTTTTCGGTTTTCTTTCGTTTTTGAAGAAGCCAGTGGGTGTCGAGCCTGGTCGCGCTGGGGTTCCACGAGAAATCTGCGGCTCTGCTTCTTTACAAAGGGGGGATCTCCGGGGTTCCTTGATTTGTTTCCTTAGAAGGGTTTCCTTGGGGGTCCTTGATTCAGTGATCTTGGTTCCTTCGTTCCTTGGTGTTGGTTCCTCGTTCTTGGTTTCTGGCTCCCTGGTCATGGTTCCTTGGTTCCTTTATCTTGGTTCCATGTTTCCTTGGTCGTGGTTGCTTGGTTTGGGCTTTCTGGTTCATGGTCTCCGTGGTCGTGGTTCCTTGTTCTTGATTCCCTGGTGCCACCCAGTGCTTAGCAATGCAGTGCAGTGCAAAGCAATATGCCAAGCACTATGCCAAACACTGTGCCAAGCAATGTTGCGCAGTACGCTCATGCAACAGGAAGCTTGTCCTGTTTGGGATAGCGCCAGGTTCATTCACAGTGCTCAAGTGTTCGCGGCGCCATACCGCTCGTAAGGGGTCTGATTGCACCCTGTAATACGCATGATGTTGTTTCAGTGCCAGACTCAGTCTCACCAGACCTCCCTTTTCAGAAGCTCCCAGCCTTACTGGAAGGCCCCACCCTCCCCCTGTGCCAGCCGAAGCTGGCGCGATCCCCATTTAGGACGAGGCTTCCTAAGCAAGTAACTGGACAAGCGCGACATTGCGGTGCTTGGGTTTGTGTTTCATGGATTTGCATTGCTTGGCGTTGTTGGGCAGAGCGTGGCATTACGTTGAATTGGTTTGCGTTGCTTGTCTTTGAACTGTTTGGCGTTGCTTGGCGTTTCTGTGCAGTGCTTGGCGTTGCTTGGCATTGCATGGTATTGCTTGGCGCTGCTTGTCGCTGCTTGACTTTGCTGAGCGTCGCTTGACATTGCTTGGTGGCGCTTGGTACTGTTGGCATTTCTTGGTATTGATTGGCGTTGTCTTTCGTTGCGTGGCAGAGCTTGGCATTGCTTGACGATGCTTGGTCGAGCTGGGCATTATTGTTGGCATTGCGTTGCATTGGTTTGCGTTGCTTGACTTTGAATTGCTAGGCGTTGCTTGGCAGTGATTGGCGTTGCTTGGCATTGCACGGCATTTCTTGGCGTTGCTTGGTGCTGCTTGATTTTGTTGAGCGCTTGACATTGTTTGGCTGTGCTTTGCACTGCTTGGCATTACTTGGTGTTGATTGGCGTCGTTGTGCGTTGCTTGGCAGAGCTTCGCATTGCTTGACGGTGCTTGATGGCGCCTGGCATGGCTTGGCGTTGCTTAGCAGTGCTAGGCAACAAGACCAAGAAACTTGGGCATGGCCGGTTTACAACCACTATGAAGACAAGACCAGGGAAATACCTCTTCAATTCTGCAAGGAAACAAGACCAAGGAACACGGGCAGGGCCTGTCCGCACGCGATCAGGGCCCAATGCGAATGAATTTCGGGAAGGTTTCTTCCTGAACAATGAGGCAACGATGCCAAGGAGTCGGTACTAGGCTTTGAAAAGCAGTGTGTAATCAATATTGAGGAATGCGGCAAGGCCCTTCAACAACAAGAAGGAAGCAAGACCAAGGAACCTGGACAATGCTGGCCCGGGCAGCCCGGAATCCCATGTGTTATTTCCAAGCAAGTATCGACTACACGCAGGAGTGGCCCTTCGCCGGAGGGACCTTTGGTGCTGGCCCACAGGGGGTCTGGTGATTTCTCTTGCGGAATGACCTTGACCTCGCGTCGGCACCCGCATCGCGTGATTACGCTCGCATCTGAGCGCGCCAGGTTTGGGCCCACCCCTTGCAATCGACAGCAACGCATACACGTCGCACCCTACAGCTTGCATTGGTTACAAGAGGGGGAGCCAGTCGACCAGACGGCGCCTTTTCCAGCCCAGGGCCAGTCCCGAATCGCAGCTCGAATCCCAAAACGTCTGGCTTGAAAATATGTGGATATCTTTGGGTATCTTTGAATAGCTTTGAATATCTTTGAATATGTTTCTCCGAACAAATGGGGACCTTTACTATTGTCAGCTACCCAGAGATATTCAAACGTATTCCAGGCTCTCGGACGGAGCCGGTTTTGGCCATGGCGCCCGGCTTGGCAAGACGTCATCGCGATGCAGCCCGGCAGTGCCAGATCTCATCGCGGTGGCCCCCGGCAGCATCTGTTTTCGCAGCTTCTTTGATGAGCAATTCGGGGCGTTCGATTTCAGTCGGCGGAATTCCGCGGTTGCCCGCTGGCACAACAAATGTCTCGAGCGGCGCCCCGTTGATTTTTGATGCGGCGCAGCAGCGCCGGCTTGCGCGATTGCGTTGGGCCCCCCGGGCGCCCCTGAAACCTCGCACCAAAGGTCACTCTAGCCCAGGGTCGCTCCTACGTGCAGTCGAAAGTAAAAGAACCGCTCCGATATGCCTAGGCGGGTTGAACCGGGGTCCTCGTCGCTCGAATCCTTTCAAATTTCGAACCCCTATCCTCGATCTTCGAAGTCTCGAACCCCCGAACCTCCATCCTCGAGCCTCGAGCCTCGAAGCTTGTGCCTCGAAGCTTGTGCCTCGAAGCCTCGAATCCTTCATCCTCGAAGGGCGTGCCTCGGACCTCCGAGCCCTGCCTTCCCCCCCTCCCTCCTCCCTTCCCCGGCAGCCTCCCTTCCGCCTTCCCTCCCCCGGACCTCTCCCCTCCCTCCTCCCTCCCTCCCTCCCCTCCCTCCCCCTCCCTCCCCCTCCCTCCCCGTCCCTCCCCCCCCTCCCTCCTCCTCCCTATCCCTCCCCCTCCCTCCCCTCCCCCTCCCTCTTCTTCCTCTTCTTCCCTTTTCCGGCAACCTCCCTTCCGCCTTCCCTCCCCCAGACCTTCCCTCCCTCCTCCTCCTCCTCGCTCGCGCCGCCCCCCAGTCAGGAGCGAAAGAAGGACTTGCGCGTATATGAATCCACGTTGGTTTTGAGAGTACACGTTGCGCGAACGGTCGTATCACGCGGCCGGTCTCGCGGATCGGGCGGCCGTGTTCATGTACATGGTTGGGCGCGCACGTCCATTGTGGGCTCCCTACCCATCCCTCCCATCCGTTTCCCTCCCTCCTGGCTCGCGCCGTCCCTCCTCCTTCCTTCCCCCCTCGTTCGCGCCGCCTTTTTCCCGCTTCCTCCTCCTCCTCCTCCTCCTCCTCCTCCTCCTCCTCCTCCTCCTCCTCCTCCTCCTCCTCCTCCTCCTCCTCCTCCCCCGCTGGTCGGGAGCTGCCCCGAGCTCGGCGACTGGAGGGTGGACGGCGCCCCGGCGATGTCTGGCCGCCTGTGCGGCGGGCGCCTGCAGTCCGAGCCGGACTTCTACTGGGTGGGCCGGCCTCGAGGCCGCGGGGGTGTCGGGTCGGGCGAAAGGGGGGGATTGGGAAAGGGGGGGGTACGAAATCTGCGGCATGCAGCTGGTTTCGGCCTCACCGAGGGGCCCATTCCTCGATACATGGCCGCCTCCGGCGCCGGGAGGCGCCGGGAAGATCAGCTGCGTGAGCTGATTCTCAAACCCCCCCTTTGCTATCCCCCCCTTTTGCTCGACCCGAGGGTGGGTCGGGGTGCCCGAGGCGGTGGTCCGTGCAAGCGGGGGTCGCTCAGAGCGCTGGATCTTGAAGGACCCTGCAGAGCCAGTGTTGCACTGGCTTGGGCTTGGGCGCAGGGTCCTGCAGGATTTGGTAGGAGCTTGCAGGATCTTGCAAGGCCTGACTGACCCGGGTCTGGGGATACGAAACGGTACCAAAACCGCTGCTCCTCGAACATCTCCTGGGGTGCGTCCTGAAGAATTTCGAGGCGAATCCAGCGGTGGCGACGGGGGCCTCCCAGAAGGCCCAGAAAGGGAAAAACGGGCGAAGGGTAGTGGCATGGGTACCGTCTCTTCCTCACCCTCCGCCTCCTCCTCCTCCTCCTCCTCCCCCTCCTCCTCCTCCTCCTCCTCCTCCTCCTCCTCCTCCTCCTCCTCCTCCTCCTCCTCCTCCTCTTCCTTGTCCTCTTCCTCCCTCCTCCCTCCTCCGCCGCCTCCGCTAAGGGTCCGGGTCGGTCGATCCCCGAGTGGTCGGGCTGGCGCCCGGGGGGCCGCCCACGGGTCGGCGGCTGCAGGCGGTTGGGCAGCCCAGGGGCTGGCACCGCGCGCGCGTCGCGTCGGCGCGGCGGCGACACGCCGCGGGTGCTTCCCGGCCACGCTCACCAGGGGGCGGAGGACGAGAGACGAGACGAGACGAGGTGGAGAGGAGACGAGACGAGAGACGAGACGAGACGAGGGGCCACGCTTCTCGGCCACGCGGAGACGAGACGAGGTGGAGGGAGGAGGAGGATCGGGCGGGTGGTCATGGGGGGGGGCCTGAACTGCATGGGGGTGAAGAAGAGGGCCCATCTAGGGTCATTCCCCAATCAGAGCTTGCCTCTGTAGGGGTCGTAGCGGATGTATATATATATATATATATATATTCCTCTTCCTATATTTTTATAAGCCCGGGCGGGGGGAAAACCCATCCCCCCCCCCCAAAACCGGACTCCCGGGACTTGGGGCTTTGGGGCCCTCCGGACGGGCCTCGAAGCGGCCACCGGGCATCGCAAGGCGTTTTGCCAAGCCTTCCCAGTACACTCAGGGCGATCAGGGGGTCATCGGAGACGTCCCAGAGACCCCCAAGACAGCACAAGAGCGCTCCAAGAGTGACCGACGTGACCTCAAGATGGCCCAAGAGGCCTCCAGGACGGCCCCAAAGAGGCCTCCAAGAGCACTCCCAAGAAGGCCCCCCGAGGCAAAATCATTGATTTTCTGCGTTTTGGTGAATTTTGGGGTTCTTCTCTTTTCGGCTTCCCGACGCTCCATGACGGCGGTCTTCTGGCCGTCCGAAGCCGCCTGGGAGGCTCCCAAATCGCCCTACAACCATCCGAAAGGGCTTCCAGGCAGCCCAAGAAAGCCCCAAAACGGCACAACACGGATCCAAGATCCCATGGCGGCCCAAGATGGCCCAAAGACACCCTCCGAAGAATTCCAAATCGTGATCCGGTCGTTCAGGGAGACGGCGGTTGGAGGCAGGGTGGCCCGAGGAAGCCCCCGAAGGCCCCAAGAATGCGACCAGGAGGCCTCCAGAAGGACTTAAGAAAACCCGAAACTATTTTTGTGAGCCCCCTGGAGGCTCTCCAAGGAGGAGCCTCCGCAAAAAAGAGCTGAGGAGGATGGGGAGAATGCGCAGTGTATGGCGAAAATAAGGAACAATAAGCATGGAGGAAGGATAACGAATCAAATCATTATAGCGGCGATGCCGGAAAAGGCAACCAGGAGTTATCGCTAAATTTTCGGTTTGACCTTCCTGCCATTCCGCCTGCATACCAAACTTCAAGGACCAAGGTGCATGGCGCGAAGCGCCACTGCAGTCTTGTATATATATATATATATATATATATATACACATATACATGGTTAGGTTAGGTTTGTCGCCGATTTTCGCTGCACGCCCGGGTGCCCGGGGGTGGTCGGGGCCCGGGTGCCCGGGGGGTGCCCGGGGGTGCCCGGGTGCCCAGATGCCCAGGCGTGCCCGGGGGTGCCCTATAGCCTTATAC